GAGAAAGGAGAAGGAGAGGGAGAGAAGGATGAAGGAAGGAAGGAAGGAAAGAAGGAAGGGGAAGAGGAAGGGGAAGGGAAAAGATGTAAAGGAGAGGAAAAATGGGAAAGAAAAAGGGGGAGGGAGGGGGAAGAAGGAAGGAAGGAAGGAAGGAAGGAGAAGAGGAAGGGAAAAGATGGGAAGGAGAGGAAAGATGGGAAAGGAGAAGGGGAGGAAGGGAGGGAAGAAGGAAGGAAAGAGAGAAGGGAAGGGAAGGGAGAGGGAAGGAGGAGATGGGAAGGAGAAGAAGGAAGGAGAATGAAATGGGAAAAGGAGGGAAGGAGGGAGGAAGAAAGGGAAAGAGAGAGAGAAAAGAAAAAAGAAAAAGGAAGGAAGGAAGGAAGGAAGGAAGGAAGGAAGGAAGGAAGGAAGGAAGGAAGGAAGGAAGGAAGGAAGGAAGGAAGGTTGGAGGATTAAGTGAAACAGGCAAGCAACATTTGATTGGGCCACAATCCTCTCTAGGGAAAATGAAGGACAACTTGCAGACCAAGTTGTGCAAACGGAATCACGCACAGCCCTCGGAAATCAGATCTTGTCAGGATTCACTTAGAGGTTGATAAGCCCACATTATTGCTCCAGCTTCTCTGTGGAGTTGATCAGCTCAGCCAATATTGACACAGCGCTGCCTTCTGCTCAGAATATATATATATATATTTGCGGAAAGGAATACTTCTGTATATAGAGATGACTTCGCCAAGCAGATACAAGCAGATGCAACCTTTGCTGAAGCTGGAGATACAGTTGGTCTACTCCAGTGTTTCTCAACCTTTTTAATGCCGTGACCCCAACCAGTCGTAAGTCGAGGACTAAACCGGTCATAAGTCGAGGACTAAACCGGTCGTAAGTCGAGGACAACCCAACCGGTCGTAAGTCGAGGACTTTCCCTGCCCGGGACCGCCACGCATGTGTGGTTCCGCCCCCTGCGCCGGCCGAGGCGTAGCTGGCAAGCGGCAGAGACGGAGCAGGCCGACCACCAGCTGGCCCAGCCCAAGGGAGGTAAGGCACCCACCGGAAAAGGGGGGAAAAATGGCGGACAAAAAAAATGGCGGACAAAAAAAATGGCGGACAGCCTTGCTTGGCGACCCCCGTGAAATGGTCGATCGACCCCAAATGGGGTCCCGACCCACAGGTTGAGAACCACTGGTCTACTCTAAGATCAAAAGTCGGCAATATGGCCCCTCCAGGCCCCTGACTGAGGGAAAGAGGGAAAACAGACTCCATCAACTGCAAAGACCCTTTGCTTTCAAAACAGACAGAAACTTTCTTGACAGAATGAAAACTCTTCACTTCCAGAAAAGCTTGACAACCTCCACTGATGGAGCACCCACAACTTCTGAAGGCAAGCTGTTCCACTGGTTAATTGTTCTCACTGTCAGGAAGTTTTTCCTTAGTTCCAGGTTGCTTCTCTCCTTGATTGGTTTCCATCCCTTGGTTCTTGTTGTGCCTTCTGATGCTTTAGAATAGAACAGAGCTGGAAGGGACCTTGGAGGTCTTCTAATCCAGCCCCCTGTTCGAGCAGGAGAACCTATACCATTTCAGACAATGACTGTCTAGTCCCTTCTTAAAAATCTCCAGTGATGGGGCGCCCACGATTTCTGAAAGCAAGCTGTTCCACTGGTTAATTGTCCTCACTGTCAGAAAGTTTCTCCTTAATTCCAGGTTGCTTCTCTCTTTGGTCAGTTTCCATCCATTGTTTCTCGTCTTGCCCTCTGGTGCTTTGGAGAATAGTTTGACGCCCTCCTCTTTGTGGCAGCCCCTCAGATCCTGGAAGACTGCTATCATGTTTCCCCTATTTCTTTTCTTTAGACTAGCCAAACCCAAGTCCTGCAGCCATTCTTCATAAGTTTTAGTATCCAGGGCCTTTGATCATTTTAGTTGCTCTTCTCTGAACTTTTTCCAAGGTCCCATTGGAGAATAGGATGACCCCCTCTTCTTTGTGGCAGCCCCTCAGATATTGGAACCCTTTTATCATGCCAACCCGATTCCTTCTTTTCATTAAAAAGGAATCAAGGAGAAACTTTCCCAGTCATCA